GTTCAGATTACCTGATATAAGCATGCAAAATGAATCAAAAAATTAAACATTAACTGTTTCTTTCAATAAGTCAATAGAAATTAGTAGTACAATTATCTTAGAAGCACAATTTGTCAGCTAAATCTTGGAAACAACACAAATGCCCATCAGCTGAAGAATGGATAAAAACTATGTGGTATTTTTATACAATGGAGTATTACTTGGCTGTAAAGAAAGATAAACTTGAAGCCTTTAGAGGTAAATAGATGTAACTAGAGACCACCCTCACACATGAAATAAGATCTGCACATGTAAACATCATATTGTCTCCCTAATGTAAGAACCTGAAAGAGTAAATAAAATCTGAAAGGTACAATAGACTTTGTGACAGGAAAAGAAACTGTTCAAAGGGAAAGAAAAATTGGGACGAAGGAAAGGAGAAAAAGAAGCAAAGGAAAAAATATATTGATGAACTAAATTCTCTCCATGATTCTGGTCACAGATTGAACTAGACTAGAACTAAATCCAGTTTCTCCATAAGGTCAACATTGAAACTAACAACTGAATTTGATTTGGTTCTTGTCCAACACGGTTTGCAGCAAGAATCATGGAAAGAATTAAGTTTGTGAACCACTGTGAAAAATAGACATATATTTTCCCCCTCATATTAGAATAATCATGCTTTTCTGACCAATGTTCCATGTTTATATCTGGTAATCTGAACAACTACTTTGAAGACAACAATACACAATATAACAATCATTGTTGAATTCCTATCATTTTGGTTTTCGAAATTCTGTATCATTTCTAATATTTTTAAATTATTGTTTGTTCTCTTAAAAATATGTATAAACATTGTATTGTATGCCTGCTATAAGAATCTGAAAGAATAAGTAAAATGTGATTTTACAATAGACATAGTAAAAGGAAAGAAACTGAACCAAAGGAATAAACAATTGGGATGAGGGAAAGGAAAAAAGAAAGGAAAAACAAGGAAGGGAAAAATCATGTACATATGTGCACAGCATAACTAAGGTGACTGCACTACTAACTTCTTTTTTTTGAAGGGAGCAGATAATATTCAAAATTTTAACTTTGATCAATTTTACATGCTTTTATCTGGTAATCTGAGCAACTACTTTGAAGACAGAAATGTGTAATATAACAACCATTGTTGAATACCTATCACCTTGGGTTTTTTTGAAATTGTGTATCATTGCTAGTGTCTTCTCTATTATTTTTCTTTTCCCTTTCAACTAAAAAAGAATGTGTGGATGCATATGAATACTGTGACCTGCAAGTGAGCTGTGCTGAACTCGGTGTGAAGCAGAGCAGGAAGGGAGCGAGGTCAGCGTGTGCTTGCAAGCTCGCAGACCTTCACCAGTCTGTGGGCGAGACCCTTTCAGGAAGCTAGGCAAAAGGCAGCACTTTAGAGTGTGTGGCTGTGTACAGAACTGTGGTGCGGAATGCTCACTTGTGAGGTGCATACTGTGAACGGCCATTTGTGGAGATAGTACAGCACAGCTCAACAGCAAACAATGAGACTGGAGCTTCACGCATGTTTCTCCATTAACAATACACTGTTGGAAATGTTAGAAAAAAACCCATGCATGTCTGAACTTGTGTATCTGACTTATTTCACTTAACATTATATTTTTAAGGTGCATTCATTTAGCTATGAAAGCCTCAAGTTTGTCTTTATGGCAGAGTAGTGAAAATACTCTAACTTCTGTGGCATGGATGGAGCGTCATATTCATCATACCCCTGGTGGTCATTCATTCAGCAAGCATCCAGGAAGCACTTAGGACCAGGGTGCATCCAGGCACCATACTGAGCACCAGGCCAGGATCAGCGAAGACAAACATTTCTGTCCTCTTGGAGCTGACTGTGTAGCCCAGATGAAGGCTCAACACAGGAGACTTGGGTCTGAAAAGGTGGTAAGCAAAGGTTGACATGATAGAGGAAAGAAAGAAAGAAGGAAACAATAGGGAGGAAAGGAGAGAGACAGAGAGACAGAGAGAGAGAGAGACAGAAAGAGAGACACAGAGAGAGACAGACAGAGAGAGAGACAGACAGAGAGACAGACAGAAAGAGAGAAAGAGAGAGAGAGAGAAAGAGAAAGACAGAGAGACAGACAGACAGACAGACAGACAGACAGACAGACAGACAGACAGACAGACCTGGCCAGAAAGACCCTCCTTCCCTGAGATCCCTGAGATCTTGCACTGGGTGTAGCTCCTCATGCGATTAAGCTGAGCTGGATCCCTGATCTCATCTGATCCACACCCATGTCCTCAGAGGCTGCTGGCTCTCTAAGAATCCAGTCAGGGCTTAGGGTTAGTGAGACTGTTTTTCTTTGTGTTGAAAGGGTTCTGGCAAATACAACCAGATGCAGCTCTCTTGAGAAGAAAAACCTCAACTTTGGGGAGGGGACATAAAGAATGTGACCTACTTTATTTCCTTGGCTTCCCAAATGGCCTTGATTCCCCACCTCTCCTCCAGGTCCTGGATGCCCCTGAAAGAAAGCAAGCAGTGCAAATGCAGCAAAACATGAAGCCACTTTCCCTTAAGCCTTCCGAGTCTCTTCTAAAAGGAAAATGAACTACAGCTGAGAGAAGAATTATGGTTATACTGACTCCTCCTCTGGAAAAAAAAAAGAAAAAAAAAAAAAAAAACCATTGCAGCTGTGAAATAAAGACTGGTAAATAAAAGAAAATTAATGAAGTAATGTACGCCAGATGTTGCCTAAACGATTTTACTTCCTTGTGAGTCGTCCCTTCCATGGAGATTTTAGGTTCTCAATGTTTTGCTCTGAGAGCAGATGTTGCTAAAATGTCTAACATTTTAAAAAGGTATTCCAAGTGACATTCACCTTTTAAGAAATCCTTTCTACAAAAGCAAAGGCTCAGTCTTTTTTTTTTTTTTAAAATGTAAACTTAGCGTTACTTGTAAATAGCATGAGTTATATATTAGAAAGTTCAAAAAGCTTTGCCAAGCACGATTGGCAGATGTAGCCCAGGGGTAGAGCGCCTGTTTAGCATGAAGGAAGCCCCGGGGTTCATCTCTGGTACCACAAACAAAGCAAAACATATTCATCTCATGCAGGGTAAATATTTAGAAATAGCTTTCAGAAACTACTAGAAAATAGTTATAAAAGTAAGTGTAAATAAATATCTACTTACTAAAAGGAAAAAACAATACTTGGGATAAATTTAACAAGAAAGATACAAAACCTGTGTAAACAAAGCCTTAAGGCTTTATTGAAAACCTAATAACAAAACTTGCACAGATCAACAAACATAATGTACATCTATATGGACAATCTACTAGATCTACTAGATGTAATAGAATAGATCGTTTCAACATTGTAGAAAATAAGTTTTATTGGAACGGCTTTAGAGCTATTTTAAAATCCCAATTCAGAGAACACACAACTGCCTTCTGTTATTAACACTTGGGATCGGATTTTTCCTTTGGGATATCTAAGCATACGTCAGGAGAAATCCCTACTGAGTACAATTGTTCTTAGATATTTTAAGCAATTCCAACACCAGTGAATTGAAATCATTTCCACAATTTTTTGATTACAGTTGCTATAATTTCAAATTAATTAAGGCAATCTGTGTAATAGCCATGATTTTTAACAAATTATTTTGTTTGGAACAGAATTGTGATATGAATCTTTTTCATCCCTTAAAAATTGAGGGCCAGCCAGATAGCTCAGCGGACTAAAGTGCCGGCTTAGGCAGAGCACAGGGACCAGGGTTCGATCCCCAGCACCATGTGCTGTGCCTGCCCAGCCCCTGGGGCATGCTGGAATGGCAATTGAGACTGGGTGTGGTGGCATGTATCTGTAATCCCAGCACTAGGGAGGCTGAAAACAGGAGAATCACTATGAGTCTGATCTGTGTAGTGAGACCCTATACTAAATGCATTTTAAAAAATTGAAAATATTAGAAGGTACACAAAAACAATTTCTTAATAGGAAAGCTTGTTGAACAGTGAAATGATGTCTAAGGAAGATAATTTTTCTATAATTCCCCATCTTTGCCTGCCCTTTTCTTAGTCTTAAAAACCTAGATTTCTCACCTCTTTGTAGACTGCTCAAAATCAGTTCCTGTTGAATTCTTACCTCTACTACCATGTGGCACCAACTTCCAGCACCCTTCTGTCCACACCATGTTAGTTTTCTGCCTTTACCTTATCGGAGTCGGATGATGTGCTCTGAAACTTTTCTACTCACTTCCTTAACATCAGGTTACCATGGTCCTCAGGCCCCCCCGCCATTCTCCTCTCTCTAACCTTCGAAGATGCCTCTTCTCTTATGTGCCTCACAGATCTTCATACCCTGTTTTTGAATAGCAACCCTACAAATTCTCATCCTACTTCTACACAGGGACTCCTCTATTGTGCACCTGCAGGCCAACCGCTCATCTAAATACCAAGTGCGTGTGTTAAAATGCCTACATAGGGTACTACAAAGTTCCAAACTGAAGTTTGTGCCTGATTGAATGGGGCTCAGGTTTCAGTGAATGGTTACCCAGATAAATGATCAACCCAACTTCTACTAGTTGGCTGTGAAATCTTGCTAATTGCTTTTAAGAGAGAGATAATTTTCTTAGCATCTTTAGACATCAGGTAAAAGAGTTTCCTTGATTTGACCTCAAAGAACTGCCTTAGAATTAGAAGAGAAGCTTAAGGCATTGAACAGGAAGGGACATTTGCTAGGGCTCAGATCCTTGGTGGGCCTTGGTAATGAGTGCCTTCTATTCTGATCAAGGCTTTCTATGAAATGGTAGCAAGCTATCATCTTCAATTCTCAGAACAACACAGTACAGTACAATCCACACTGCTAACTTTACTCCGAATGCCTTCAGGGCAGGTTTGGCTGGCTTGAGTTGTGGGGATCGAACCACAGCAACCTGAGCCTGACTGCTTTGTTGAAGCAGCCACTTAAAGAACTGAGCTAAGGGGCAGGCCCTCACACTGCTAACTTTATTTATCAATCAAAACCAGACTCTTAGGGCATTTACCCCTATATTACTTTGCTAATAAGGTGATAAGATGGGAATTGATCCTAATTCTATCTGACTCTACAGACTGAGGCTCCAGCCCCTCTGTTTGCTGTCCAGGCACCATTGAGAAGGGTGTCCAAACTCTTACACATGCAGTAGCCCTGGTGGGAGCCTGTGCTATAGCCCTTGGCAACAACTGCTGTCATGTTCAGTAAGGATAGAATGGAGGTATTTATGGAGAGCAAATGGACCTCGACCTCAGAGTCCTTCTGACAGGATTGTACTAGAAGTCTAGGATGAGTGCCTGAGCATCCACGGCAGGCACAGAGGTACAGGTCTTCTTACACTTAAAAGGAATCCTGATCACTTTTTGTATTTTATTTTCCTGGGGCTAAAATCTAATACAAACCTACAGCCAGCAAATAGCAAGCTGAGAAAAAACAAAGTGATTAAATGCTTGACTTCTATAAGAGTTAGATATGAGCTTGGTTTGAAAAAAAAAGACTAGAGATCCAGAAGCCAGCAAGTGTGGGCAAATAAAATAATGCAAGGCAAATCCCGAGGTACCTGAGAGGAGGCTGTACTGACAGTGCCAGCCCACAAGAGAGCCTTGCACCGTCCCTCTAATGCTTCTCTATGCAGCCTGTGCTCCACCACACTGCAGCATTCACTATTCACAAAACTACCTTTAGCAGCTCTTTTTACAGCCTGCTTCCATTTCCTGGATGGCTGCCTCTCTCTTGGTTACCTGGAAAAACCCTCCTTATCCTACAAAGTCTAACCCACTGATCTCCTCCTCATCCTATATGCTGCCACGGTGTGTTAGTCACTTTTTTTTTTTTTCTATGACAAAATACCTGATATAACCTGTTTAAAGGGGAACAATGTTATTTTGCTCACGGCTTCAGCCCATGTCAGCTGGCTCTACTATGGCTAAGCTTGTGGCAAGACAGGAACATCATGGCCTGCCATGGCAGAGAAAGGTTGCTGACCTCGTGCATAGAGGCTGGAGGAGGGAGAGGGAGAGAAAGTGAGGGAAGCAGAGAGGAGAAAGTGAGAAGGAGGAAGAAGACAGCACAGAGGACAAGGTCTAGTGCTCAAGGAGATGCTCTCATGGTCCACTGCCCCTAAGAGTTCATGCGGCTATGAACTCATCAAGGAATCTACCCACTGATGGCTCTGGTACCCCCACGCTCTGATCACTTCCCAGGAGCCCTACCTCTGCACACTGCTGCTCTGTGGACCAAGCTTTCAACACAATAAGCCTTTGGGAGAACATTTTGTATCCAAACCATAACCATCTTGGTATGGTTGCCTTCTACCATTCAGCAAAATACCTCTCATTTATTCACACAAGCCTCTTTTAGAGGCTTTGTGTACTCAGACAAAGGTCTGTTTCAGATTCATTCTGTATTCTAGTAGAGGGCTGGACATACAGGAAGCACTTATAGTAAACATTGGTCAAGTTAGCAAAAGGAGTAACTAATGGAGTCACCATCCTCAGACTTTGCAGGATGATGAAATCCGATGAGTGAGCCAAGTGACATATTGTTACATCCTTGCTGAGCCAGCTGAGTATGCACTAAAGCCTCCAGTGAGCTAATTAAACCTTTCCTTCCCTACTTTTGAGTGTCAGGTATTTGTCCCAGCAATGAAAGAAGAGTAACTGAGACAACCATTTGAGTTTCAAAATGAGGCAGCTATTATTACTATTCTTTACACTAGAGAAAAGTGAGACACAGAGATTAAGTAAATTGCTCACAGTCATATAGTACTAAAGTACAAATCAAAAATTCAAACCAGCTTCAGACTCTATGTCTTTGACCTTGATGTTATACTTTGTAAAGACAATAGAAATTCTATGTCATTTTCAAAATTTGCAATGTACATTTCCAATCTTTCTTAATATTACACATGACAGTAGTGATTATAAACTCTGACTGATCTTGGTATTTTGGACTGAGTTTTCTCTTTTCCTAGGCATGAGGACAGGCTGTGACAGAAATCCAAAGAAAGGTGACAAGGAAGGTACAAAACAACATACCATTCTTTTCAAAGCTCTCTCTTACTTTTCATAGTGCCATGAATAGTGTTTCTTTTATATTGTCACCATATATTGGCTGGATTGGCACATGCGCAGAACACCTCAATATTATGTAAGTTAATAAGACTTCTGAACATCGTAAACAGAAATCACATCCCTTTTGCTAAGTGTATAACCTAAGGAAAATTTGCAATCCCACAATTAGGAGACACTCGTTATTCCCCTGGCCTTTGTGTGTTGTAAAGCAAGGAGACCTCTGGCAGTGAGTGGATTTATAGAGCCAATAACTACAAACTCTCCTGCATATCTGATTGTATTTGTCTCTCTGATTTTTCTCTGGAAACAACAATTTTGAGGCGCTATTCATCATGTGCTGAACATAGACAATTCCACACACCTTTGAAACTGGGTAGTCAAAGGTGTTTCATGAAAACTGAGCAAAGAAAGAAATCATTGTTTCTAGCCAAGCAAATGGAGGAGGAGACTAGAAAGAAAGGCTGCCTCCTGACAGGCTCTCACAGGCCAGAGGTTGAATGATTTATACCCATGATCACTCGTGCCAAAGCCAGATGACATGGGTATTTCTCGCAGAGCAGTACCACACAGCTGATGGAAATGTTATTATAGTCACAGCCAGTTGGACAAGATTTTGGATCCTACAGCAAAAGAAATACCAAGACTTTTGGATTTCAATCCATCTATCTATTATATAAAAAGATGAGATAATCACATGATATATGTTTTTCTTGGCACTTAGTTTTTAATTGCAATTTATGATGCCACCAGACTTAATGATTCAAAGATGTGAAGGAAAATACTTTTCCTCAATTTAGTTCTGCTATAAATTATAGATTTCACATGTTTTGAAGGAGTACTACCTTCTTTAATATTGGGAACACATATCGTCATGAGGAGTCATAAATGTGCTTTAAAATATTATGTTATGTGATACAAGTTCATGCAAATAGCTTAAGTGTTGGACCACTTCCAACTTTAATGGACACAAATATATAAATTCCCTTTTCCCCAGTGTTCATGGAAAATGCAGCTTCCAAATACACTCTATGCATTAATTTATTGCCTAATTCATTCTACAAACATGCCTGGAGATCTGCTATGGCCAGACACTACTGCTAATCTGGAATCTGTAGACACAGTGTAAACAAGGCAAGGTCCTTCATGGCCCTTACAATCTAAAAGAAGAAACAGATGGTCGATACATACCAAATATATACACCAGACAGACCCCTGAATGTATACTCTGATCATAGGTAGGTAAGGCCCAAATCACATAGAGCCTTGCTGTCCACAGTGTGGTCCATGGAGAGGCGCATCAGCACCACCTCCAAGCTCATTGGACCTGTGGAACCTTGGGCTCTTCTCTGGAGTCAGGATCTCAGTCTGCATTTCAATAAATTCTATAGGGAGCATTCATGCACTTGGAAGTTGGAGAAGTGCTAATGTTAAGCAGGCATTCCTAAGCCTCAGTACATTTAGAGTCACCTGGGGAGAATTTTTAATTATCTATGCCATGGGCTTCTTTTCAGGGATTCTGATGTAAGTATTTTGGAAAGGGGTCCAGGTTGTGAAATGTCTACAGTCCCCAAACACTGTCACATGAGATCTGGGAGAGAACTGCTAAAATATGCTGTCCTGTTAGTGTGATGGGAAGCTCCACCAAGAAACTTGTGACCGGGCAGTGAGGGAGCCTAACTATGTAGAGTAGAAATCCTTACACCCACTGAGCAGTGAGGCAGAGGGAACTAGAAATGAGTCTGACAGAATGATGCCTTGCTCTGAAAGATGGGAACTGAAGTGTGATATGGTTACCACACGGAGTGCTGAAGCCAACCTATTGCACAAAAAATAATACTAAAATAAACCTATTACATTTTGCTGATCACAGACAGTAAATAATTCTACCTGCAGGGAAGGAATCATAAAAACATCCACACTAAAGCTAAGATCAAAGCCAGATGCAGTCAGTCACTCTTTCTCTCATTACGTACCTGGGGACCTTTAATTCCCAGACTTCCTTTTTCTCCTTTTTCACCAACTTCTCCTCTTGGGCCCTAGGTACATAGAATTCATAGTATTATTTTTTTTCTTCCTAAATAGGACACTGGGGTGCTATCTTGAATAGCAAACACAGAGGTATTAAGTCAGTAACACGGGCAGAAACTGCAAGAGGCCTACAGTTAAGCTGTTGTTCTTTGGTAACTGTTTTCAAACTCACCTGGTGTTTGCAGGAATATTATGATTAGAGTAAATTTAGATGACTGGGCATTTGCAAAGTGATTGGACTTGGAAAAAATGGTGGTGAGCTGAGCTTTGGAAAATTGCTGCCTTTACTGTTTTTTTTTGTCTTTAGGTACTGGGAGCCCTGATCTGCATCCCCTGCCCTGTTTTATTTTGAGACAAATTCTTATCAAGTTGCTCAGGCTGGCCTTGAAGTGACGATGCTCATGCTTCAGCCTGCAGAACAGTTGGTGTGACAGGGCATGCCACCGTGCCCGACTGAAGATGTTTTCTATTTATTTTTTATATTCATTTTAATGAGAAAAAAATAAAATAGCAATGAAACAGTTTCAAAACAGGCTAGTAGGACTGTTACAATAATTGATATATTGCATATTGTTGTCTTTGTAGTAGTTATTCAGAGGACATGTTTTTCTAATTATCCTCAACATCTTCATACTCTGAATCCAAACATTTCTTAAGAGGTTAAAAAGTATGATATCGAGTCCTAGCCCAGGT